CCGGCGCGCAGCGTTGTTTGGCTCTGTCGCGGCACCGATGGCTCCTCCGGCGATAGATCTGCACGAGCGAAGGCCGACTTACCACGCACGGTGTCGAACACCGACTCGGGGCGACCCGTTCTCGGCGCCCTTGGAGCCTGTCCATCCGCTTCCAGCGCCGTCGCACTCTTCCGACGAGGACTTGCAGGAAGCGAGGCCAGCTCCGCCAGCGGAAAGCGGTCTCTCCCTCCTCAGCCGCTCGAGTCTCGCTCGGCCAGCTGTGCCGGAGAAGAGCGGCTTGCGTGTAGGTGGAGGTGACTCTGCGATACGTTGCGAGGTGAGTCGTCCTCTCGTCCCGCGTATCAGGCCGACGTGCTGATCGTGCATGGAGTCAGGGGCATCTCCTCCTGTTGGGCGCGACGGAAGCCTCACCGGAGCGCCGATACTGTGTCTTGACGGATGTGGGACTCGATTCGCGACCAACGGACCAGCTTCCCAATGTGCAGCGGTGTACCGTTCTGCGCCTAGCCGAATGCGTTCGCATCGACTTTGAGCCTGCCGTCTCAAGCGACCTGCTCGCTTTCCGCCCGTTCGCTCTGATTCTGCGCAATGGCGAATCTCGCCTTTTCGCCGCCGATCCGCCCACAGACCGGCTCCGCTGGATATCAGCCTTCCGGTGAGTTTGGCAAGAGCCCGATTCGGTGTCGCCGAGTCCTGACGACCTTGTCTGTCGACAGGAATCTGCTTTCCGGACGCTCGCCGCCTTTCGTCGCGAGAGCAGAGTCGGCTCGGAGTCTCACGCCGCCTGGTTCATTCTTCTCGGAAACGCGTGGCACCGTTCGCAGCTGGCCGAGGGCGCCCGCCCAAGTAGTGCCGGCGACCACCAGCCGACTTCCCGACCGCGCGCTCGTGCCATCGATCTTACCCGAGATTGCGGATGGCCCAGGAAGTCATCCTTCGCAGGTCTCGCCTCCGCCTCCACTACCTCCAAAACCAGTGCAGCCTCCTCCCGTTCGCGCGACATACCTCGATCGGTCCGACCAATTTGACCGCCCTTCGAGCTTTCATGACATTTTGACAGACGAGAACCTCGCGAGCGAGTTGCGCGGACTTTTGGCGCAGCTCGAAGTAGCCGACTTGCGCAAGAGGGGACGTCACGAGCGATACAAGCGCCTTCGCGAGCGTCTCGCCGCACTTCGCGGGAAGCTCGACACGTCGCCCGATGTTTCGACGTCTGCGCGAGATGCTGACCTTGCGGAAAAGGTGCGCTTCGTGGAGTGTCATCGCGCGCGACATGCGCACGGCTGACTTGCTTCGCTTTCAGGTCGACTACCTCTTGGCGGCGAACGAGAGACTCTTGCGGAACCAAGAGCTACTTCAGCGGTCGCTGGGCGACCGTGCGAACGCCCTCGAGGCGAACGAGCGCGAACTCGTCAGGCGAGTCGAGGATCGCTTGCGCGACTTGATTCAAAGCGCGGACCGCTCTTCCACTCTCTCCCCTCCGCTTATTCGCGCCAACGAGCCCGATAGTTGGACGGTCACCACTCGCCGAGGTGGCTTCTCACGCTCGGAACAAGCAGACTGGGCGGCGGATCTTCGAGCTTTCCAGGTGCGCCCTCCCTTTCTTGAGCGAAATGGCATTCGACCGAGGCAGCTGATCCGCAGCTCTTTCACAGCACGAGGCGGCGGAAATCGGGGCGGTCCATTCGCCTCTGCAAGGGCTCAGTTCCGTCCCATCGCCGACCGTCGTGCGGAAACACCGCGAGCAGGCGAGTCGGAAACTCGAAGGTATACCGTCTTCGTCCGAACCCTCGCGGGTCCCTTCGGCCTCTCGACTCTTCGGCGACGAGCAGGTGTTGGCGGGACCGGCGCTTGCACCGGCTACCCGTGACCCTTTCGCCGGCAGCGGTCTGGTCGAGCCCGCTGCAAGATTGCCGACGAGCTCAGTGAGCGTTGCCGACCATACTCGCGCCTAGCCACGGGGCTGATCATTGTGCTGCGCAGACCTCGCAGCGCTCCGCCCACGCTCTGACGGTCCTTTCATTCGCCTCGTCCGACGTCAGCAGGCTGGAACAGGTGAGCTTCGTGCACGGGCTGGACAAGCTGTGATCCTGACAGGACTTCCCGGTAGACTCTCTCACGAATCTTGCACAGCTTTGAGAAGCAGGACGGCTGTCCGTATACGCTCGTCGTGTCACTCGCACACGGTCGATCTGACGCTTACATTCTGTCCAATAGCGCTCGCCCAGCAGCGAGCTCACCAGGAACGAGTGTCGCAGGTCGTTGGCGAGTTGGCGCGCTGGGTCGCCGAGGACCGCTCAATCCGCGACATGCAATTTCAGCAGCTCATCCAGGCCGTTGAAGGCATCGTTCAGCACGTCTCGCAGCTCCCGACGCGCCTCGCGTCTGCTGCGCTCGACTCGCCGTCGGCGTTCTCGCCTCCGCCTCGAGCGCCCTCCGTCCTCTCGCAGACTTTGCAGGATCTCGCCGCCACCGAGGGGCCGTATGATGATGAGCCTCGCGTCGCTGACGGGCCGACGAAGCAGTCGAAAAGCGGACTCCTGAACCCGAACAGCTCGTTCGCGCGAGCTGCTGAACAAGCGACGACGCGCACGACGACGCGCAAGGATACGACGAACACGCGCGGCCCGAGAATGCCCGCCTTTCGCTTGTGGGGTGCGCTCTCCGTCCCGGTCTCCGCTAGATTGGCGGTCGGTACTGACGATTCCCTTGCAGGTGCACCCGATCCGACGGGCGAGCGCGCGCCGCACTGGGGCCGGCCCCTCCCGCAGAAACCGACCCCCGATGTCGAGCAGACCATCGAAACGGCCGCGCCGGGCGTCGTCGAGGCGCTCAAGTCCGACGAACAGCTCGAGCAGAGTTTACTCGCTATCGCCCGTAGCGCGGAGGGCGACATGGATCCCGCAGCGATCTCCAGTGGGTCCTTGTGATGGTGCGTGGGCTTGTCCTCAGCTGACACCGACACAATTCCAGTGGCGGTCCTCGAGATCCTGTCGACGATGCGCGACATTGCTCGCAAGCAGGACGCCTATGAAGCCAAAGAGACGGCGGAAAAGATGGGAAATACCGGGCTCACCGATCGCGAGGCCGCCGAGCTGGAGGTCAAGCGCGCCGAGATTGCGCGGATCGAGGCGCGCACCCTCATGAGCGAGGAGCGGACCGCTCGTGCGTGTTTTCGTCTCGTGCTCTTTTCTACGGCGCTTATCGGCTTGCACTATCAGGGATCAACGAGATGGTCGCCAAACTCGCCGAGCGGACCGAAAAGGCGGACCAGCTGCTGAAGGAGATTGCGCAGAATGTGCAGGAGGGCAAGAAGACGCAGATTGACCCTGCGCTCTCTGAAGAGGTCAAGAAGTTGCTCACGTGTGTGCGCTCTCTTGGCATTTCTGGATGGATCGCTGATGGCGTCTCGTCTCACAGCGGCGTCCGAGCCGGCGTCGACGACCACGTCAAGGACTTCCGAGGACAGTTGACGAGCGAGGTGTGTCCCTCCTGTGGCGTGTGTGCTATCCCAGTTCGGCTGACCTCTGGCCGGGCCGCGCAGATCCAGCGCATGTTCAAAGAGGTGGGTGGACTGCGGCAGCGTTTGGTGACGGGCTCCTTACGCATCTTGTGTCGTCCCAGGTCGGCAAGCTGCGAGATGAAAAGGTCGCGCTGCAAAGCGACATTGCCGAGCTTCTCACGGTTGGTCTTTCTTGTCGGTCGCTTATCCGGGGCGGCTGACGCCCGCTCGTTTCCCGCGACAGTTCCAAGCAAAGCATGGCGGCCCGGTGCGTCCAATTACAGTCTGCCTTTTGTTCCTTGGTTCCTGACTTGCTCTACTGCAGTCCCTCTCGACTTCAGCGGCAGCGCCGCCTTTCGAGGTCTCGATCCCGCCGTCGTTGCGGCCGGGCATGCCGACGAGCGGTTTCTTCGGTCCGCGCGCTGCGGGATGATCACGCTGCTGGCGGCGGAGGTGTGGCCCTCTTGCGTAGGCGTGGCGTTCTTGCGTAGTGTAGATGATGCGTCTTCGTGATCGAGTGTGTGCGGTGGCAGTCGAGGGTGTCTCGGGTCTGCGCGGATCCGATCGAGCTGCGAGTTGTCGAGCTGCTGTCTTCTGCGCGGCTTCACGAAGCCGAGTTGTTGGCACAGCTCTTGCTCTGTGAGCATGAGGTGCAAGGGCTTCCTGTCAAAGCCGTTCTACCAAAGCTCGGGTATTGTGGTGTAGCTACTCAATGAGTGCATCTGCGAGGTTGGACAACTTCTTCCCGGCCAAGAGCGCACCAAAGGCACTCTAGCATGCAATCAAGCCAGTGATGAGTACTTTGGTGCGCCAGAACACTCCCGGCGGCTTGGTGGCTTCTTTCTTGCTGTTGCCGCCTCCCAAATCCAAGGAGGTTCCTTTCTCCTTGCTGCAGCGCCACAATACCTCAGGGCTTGTCCTCCTGCCTCAATCGACACTGATTGTACAGGAGTGCTCATTGCACCGCTTACCAATACATACCATGCGCGAGCCCAAAGAAACCTGCCTCGAAAAACCCGGCAAGCACTCCAAAGTGCGCTGCCGGCTTCCACTTGCTTGTTTTACAGCTTAAATGACGTACTTTGATCTTATTGAGCCGTGTGACGGGTGTTTGGCACCCGAGTACAGCAAAATGCTGACTCACGGCAGCCCAAGTGAGCCCGTTCCATCTGTTGCAGAAAAGGGAGCCTCGGAGTGCACCTGCGGCTTTTTCCACTACCCTGCCTTGCTCCAGGGGTACCATAGGACGCTGAGAGTTGATCTGGAAGACACTTCAACGTGGGAATTTTGAGATTTGCTTTGAAAATTGATTTGTCGCTCAGGACTCTTCTGGCGCTTGTTTCCTCGCTGCTGGGCCTTCCACAGAGCTGTATTGCCTCCGCCCGTTTGCAGCAGTGCCTGTGAAGCCGCCAAACGGGTTGGGAGAGCAGGAACAGGGCAAACGCCGCCAAAAAGGGTCGGAAACCTCCCGGTGCCAAAAGATGAACCTTCCCTTCTTCCGGGATCGAACCAGAGACCTTGGGATGACAAACCGATTACAGTCCCACGCTCTTCCAACTGAGCTAAGAAGGGGTTTGATGGGGAGATCGACTACAACATGACAACCAGATCCGCTCAGCCGCCCAGCGCCAGGCTTCTCTGACCTCGACCTTGACTGGAAACCCTCGCTCCCCTTGTTGCACAGAGTAGCACATGCATCTGAGATCATACAAGCTCCAGGCAGACAAGCACACGCCGGTTCCTCAAGCCGCAGCACAGCCGTTGCAAGTCCGCCTCGCACTCTGACCTTGCTCGGGTCCCTTTTGACTGCCGCACAACTGTCGATGGACACAGGAGCGCCATACACAGAGGCAGACCAAGGCTACCATTGCGGCACTGTTGCCAGAGTGGGCAAGGGAGCGCTGCAAGGCTGGCACCTCGTGAGAAGGTCACAATCTCGCAGGTGCACAGACTTGGCGGTCCTTGCAGGAACAAGGTCTATACGGGCAGGAAGTGACCCTCACATCCAGCGCAGTGAGGGAGAGGGCACCTGCCACAAGAAGAGGGTCAGCCAGGAGGTCGGGAAAGGAAAGCGCTGCGACCGGAGCGAGATGGCAGGCCAGCTCAAGCGCCTCGAGGCAAGCGCAGTCCTCGGACTTGGATCCGGCGGCAAGCACAAAGCACAGTAAGAGCAGATTTGCGGGCTTGTGACAGGCAGATCTGGAGGACCCACAGTGCGAGCAGGTGTCCGCAGGACAGCCTGAAGAACCTTGCGGCGCGGGAGCCTCCTGTGGCTTGCGGCTCCGCTCCGGTCGCCAGCATGCCTTTGCGTCGGAGCGGCATGCCAGTCCCCTCAACATATTGTCAGATCAACACAAGCTCAGAGGGACCTGATGCTGGATCACAGCCGCTGCACTTCTGCAGGACCTCCCGCCGCTCGTGCGCATCTCGTCTTGTTGTTCTCCTTTCCTCTCCTCTTCAGGTCACTGCAGCTTGCCTTCCGAGACTTGTTTCTCTGACCGCAAGAAAACAAAGATTAAGGAATGAAGCTGTTCTTGGCGCGCCTGCCCGGGAATCCCTCGAGCGAAATGACAACGAGCAAATAGGAATTCATGCCGGCAACAATGCGACAAAGCTACAAAGCCTCGCTACGCTCGGGCTCGCTTCGCTCGCAAGCTTGCCCAGACTCTCCACTCGCTGCGCTCGTGGCCGAAAACGGCACGATTCCGACGCAGCAATGCTACTTCGGCTCAAATTCCGCCTCGCACTCGTCTATTGGCCACTTGGACCGCTGCATGACTGTGAGTGGATCCACCAGGCCCCGCTCCAGGCGGGACACCCCAACATAGGCAATCATGGCGGCGTTGTCTGCGCATGCAAAAAAAGTCAGCCATCTCCGACACTCCACGCACAGAAAGCAACCCTCACCGGTGCAGAGTGATGGCGGCGGAAAGATGAGTGGCAAGTCGGTCCGGCCGACCTTGTCAAGCCTCGAGCGGAGCCTGCACAGCGAACAGGAAAGTCAGCTTTGTTGGAGAAGACTATCAAAAAACGGAAACGCACCTCTCCCGCAAGACCATGTTGGACGCAACACCGCCGCTGACAACGAGCCCTCGCACCTCCTCCCCTTGTGCCAGAGCAAGGACCACCTTGTCCTCGATCTGCTTAAAGGCAGCGAGCGAAAACGCCCGCGCCACTTGTCGCTTGCGCGGTTCCGACATCTGAGACGCCGGCTCCGACTCAAGGATCCGCGTCAGGGCCGAGCGTAGACCAGCGTAAGAAAAGGCGAGGCGGCGCGCGAACGGCTGGGTGAAAGTGGGGTCGGAAGGCAAAGCCGACGAGTCGGGGAGCCCGTCGGGAAAGGCAAACCGCTCGAGCGCCGCTCCGGGCGAGCCAGCACCGAGCGCCCACGGGATCTGCAAGTCGCGAGCGACCTTGTCGATCGAAGCGCCGATACTTTCGTCGTGCGTCGTGGCGAGGATCGAAAAGGACGAGATCGAGCGCGCAAGGAGCAGCAGCGTATGACCGCCAGAGAGGAGGAGCGTCAGGAAGGGAAACTGTGGCGCGGGCGAGCTCGTCATGGGTGCGGCGGTCAAGAATGGCGTGAGAGCGTGCGCTTGCTGCGGTCAGGACGATCAGGGGTCAGGACGATCAGTAGGGCGCTTGATTGAAGGGTCCGAGAGAGCGAGCAAGCAAGCGCACCATATGATGCACGCCCAGTAACGGTTTCCCGGACGCAGCGGCGAGCGCCTTGGCCGCCCCGGCGCACACGCTCAGGCAGCCGTACATGCCCGGCCCGCGGGTAAAGGCGATCCCGTCGAGGTCTTCGAGGCGGACCTGCGCCTCTCGGAGCGCCTTGTCAATCGCAACGGGCATGTTTCGCTGGTGCGCTTCTTGCGCGTGGAGCGGATGGATCCCGCCGAACGATTCGTGGATCGCGTGCTGCTTCAGGACGACGTTCGAGAGGATCTTTCTCTCGCTCGTCACGACCGCGGCGCACGTGTCGTCTGCTCGTGCATCTCGTCAGCTGAGTGGATCCGGAGAGCTTGCACGAGCCAACTCGCCTGCAGAACTTTCGAGCCCGAGGACGACGAGCGGCCGTTTCGACGAAAAGGCGCGGAGGGCGGCCGGGGTAACGTACGACGCCAAGGACGGGCTCGTCGCCGGCGGTCTGAACCGCGAGCGGAGCATTCTTCTCGTCGTGTCGCTCGAGCTGTGTCGGTAGCTCCGCTGTGACCCAGCGTCAGGCCTTGAGTATCGATCCTGGGGCCGACGGTGGAGGCGGGCGAGCTGCAAGAGCGCGGACCAACAATGGGGTAGGCCAGACCGGAGGAGTGTCCGTATTCGCCCTGAGCGGGACTAGAGCGTGTAGGCAGACGCGAGAAGAGGCGGTCGCGCGCTCTCGAGAAATGTCAACACGCCGGTTTTGGCTTTCGCTGTCCGCCCTTTGCTCTGCCCTCCCAGTAGCGGCAATGCAGTATGGTGGACTGCCAGCCAGCTCGTACGGTGCTGCCACCCTGAAGCGACGGGAACGCTCTCCGTCTCCACAGTCGAACAAGGTGAGTCTCGTCGTCGCCGTTGACTTTCGACTCGTCGGCGAGCCATCCAACGGGTTGCATCACTGACGCTCTATTGCATCGCATCGCAGCGCCGAGTCCCTCCAACCTGCTCTCCTGCTCTCTACGCCGAAGCAGCCCCCGACCTATCGCGAGGATGGTCATTCGACGCGACCGAGACGACGGCAGGCACTTCTAGCCAACGGTCCAGCCCGGGTCTCGACTGGCTCAGACGGACTCAGGACTTGCATCTCGAGACTCCGCCGCTGAACGGATCGCACCCACTCGCCGGCGAGCTTGATCAAACGGCGCTCGCGGCGGGCGGCGCAGATTCGAACGGCGACGTCGGGATGGACAACGAGCAGTCAATGCATGTCGTGAGGCTGTCCCTCCTCGGGTCAAGGACAAAGCGTAGAACAGAGCTGACCATCACGAATGGCACCGCAGGAGACCGCGGCGCAGAGTGCCGCTACGGCCCAGCCTCCTGGCGTCCTGTACCAGCCTACTCCCGTCGCACCTCATCACGCCCCTCCACTTCACCGTCATCTCGCCGGGTCTCCACAGCAAGACCGTCAGACTTCCCGCCCGCCAACGCCCGCCTCCGGGGTTCAGTCCGGCATGGCGCCGCCGTCTCAACTCGGGAACGCCAGTTTCGGCCTCGCCGGTCCAGTCGACTGGGGCCAGCAGCCGAGGACGCTGATCAGGGGCGAAGACGCCGACATGATGGATGATGCGCCGACCAGTCCGAAACGGTCCGGCGGCTGGAAAGTCACAATGGGTTACCGTGCCGACTGCATCAAGTGTCTGCAACGCGTCCCCGGCCACTACAGCCATGTCGTGCCCTCATAACTCTGCCTTCCGCTTTACATGCTGTACATTAGTTCATCCCTTCCTGCCGAGCATACTCATTTCCTCCCGCTTGTTGTGTGCATCCTCCAAGTTCCGCAATTGCAATTTCTCCCTTTTTCGAATCCTGCCTGCGATATTACTCTGGCGAGAGCGCAGCTCACAGGGAACAAATCGGCTGTATATGATAAACTTGATTAGGTAGGGGGCTAGTGTACAACGAGGTCCTCAAGGCGCATTCGGCTTCCTCGTCTCCTTTTCGAACCACGAGCTCGAGAAGCTCGTTGCGGCGACGATATCAAACACCCGGTCGCCGGCAAATAGGAGGGTGTCGGCGGTGTGTCGGACGGGGCCGTCGGGCATGGAGCCGGTGTTGACCCTGCGAGAAAAGGGAGGAAGCAACGCAGGGTGAGTTGACTGCGCATCCTGAATGGGGAGGCGCTCTTTTGCTTTTTTGCCTGCACGCAGAGCCATTCGGGCGGGGAAAGACGCTTCGACGGAAGCGCGGCGTATCCCCTGCAAGTCGAAGGAACGCGCCGTCGCCGACTTTGCCCGCTGTCGATCACTCTGGCGAGTGATGACGACTCGAGTGCTGAGATCCTCATGCCCTCCGTCTCCGTAGCCGCGCAGGACCGGAGCGGCTTTGAGGAGAGCCTGCTGTATCCCGCCCGATACCGAGCACGCGCGCAGAGGCTGGAAGAGGGGAAAGCGAGAACTCTGGTGGACTGACTGGAACCCTGTATGCCGCTTCACACCGGCGAGAACCGTCGAGATCAGGACGACGTCGAGCGTGTAGTGGACCAATCGTCCGAGGACCATGATCGGCGAGTCGAACGAGGTACTTGGCTGCTTGGAGGCGACAGTGGTTTCACAACGTCGAGCGTGTGGGGGGCGGCGGCCGATCAAGAGTCGGCGAGTCGGCGAGTCGTCTGCAAAGGCAAACTGCAAGTCAGCCAGCAATACGGACAGCAGAGCAGGAGCTCAGCGTCTATTTCGGTCTCACCTTGATCTAAAGCGAGGACAGTGTAGTGGAGAGAGGAAAGCACCTTTCCCCGACTTCTGCCGCCCGCAGACACGCTATACGAATTTGCTCGACCATACTGCTCGATCGAGCACTGCGACAGCAGCACTGAGTAGCGCAATCGGAACGGAAATTATTCTGATACGGGAAGGAAAGTCTACGTTCAGAAGTCGCTCGCCAACGTCAACTCCTCTTCC